ATGTACAAGGTCCTGGGTTCGTTCCTCAGCACCACATAAAAAAATAAAGGTATTATGTCCAACTACAACTAAAAAATAAATCTTAAAAAAAAAAACGGATAATGGAGAAACTCAAGGATTCCATTCTCCTTGAGATCTTCTTAGGCCCTTTAGTTTTCCTTATCATAAGAGATTTGCCTTGTTAGCTGGGCATCCTTACAATAAGCTTGAAACATAACCCTTAACAGAGGGAAAATGTGGCCCCTTAAGGAAAAAACTTGGCTTCTAAGAAATGGCATGCTTTCCCTGAGGAAGAAATATTACTATGTGAAGAACCTAGTTATATATTTTAACAACTAGCCAGCATTGTTCTTACTGATAAGTCCTAAATGAATTTTAGAAGAAAGCACTTAAAATATTGACAGGTCTATTTCAAGGAAATAGCTATGTATTTAAATGGTCTGTGATTGGTGGTACTTCTGGTTCTCTGCCCTATTCTCTCCTAGAGTTAACATATCTTACATACTCCATTTCAATTTAAAGTCACATTGGTTTTTTAATCGTGTATACGTGTGTGCACACAGGTACGTACATTGTGTCAATAGCAGTTACCTGGTTTACTTCTCTTTCTGTGACTGGCTCCTCCCTCACTTCCAGCCCCTCTTGTCAGGGGTTCTTTAATAATCCCCTGAAGGAGATCTAGTCAGATCTGTTTGGATCTGACTTTTTGTTACGCTAAGATTTTTTTTCTCTAATTATATCCAGAGAATGCCATAATCTTATTTGATAAAAACTAATCTTTACATGACACATTATTTGGCAGGTATTTTCTAAATATGTCATATATATTATCTCATTTAATTCTCACAGAAAACTATAAGATAGGCATCGTTATATCTCCATTTCACATATGAGGAAATGAAGACAGAAAGAGGTGAAATAACTCACCAAGTTTGCCAGCTAGTAAGTGATGAAGTTGGCATCCCAATCTATCCGGATTATTTGGCTTTAGTCTGATTTCCTAATCACTGTGTTCTACTTCCTCATTTCATGTTACTATTTATAAAATTGTTGTGTTATAGGTTTTCTGTCATCTTGATCTTGGAAATAACAAATCAAAACACAGGCATTAGGTGTTCCAATTCCTAAGGTACCAGAATTATAAATGTTAATTGAATCCCCTGAAAAAGCACAAAGATCAAACATCTGTCTTTTTTTATAAGGCTAGTCACCATAAAGGAAGATAATTCTGTAATTCCTAAGGGCTCTAAATGTCCTTCCTTTAATTGAGTTTTGTGATAGAAATGAATTATTTGACATCCTGGAGCATCTTCTGTGCTGATTTTAATAGCTGTAATGACATAATTCTATCTTAAATTTTATTAACTGACAAAAAGATGATGTTAAATGCAAACTTTGTTGATAGACAATCATGGAAGGGAGGGTTAATTGAAACAGAAATCTTTGGTGGTCACTTAAAAGGGAAAAACAATTGGCTTTTCATTTCCAGAACTACCTTGTGAATTCGATAGGTACTCAGCCTCCTCTACTGTTCTTATTGCAATTGTACATGTGTGCCAAGGATATTTTAAAGTGAAAAAATTTTCAAATGTCCAAACTAAAATAATTGTTCCTCCCCTAGGACCTGAAAATTGAGTTGACAGAAATTTAACTTTATAAATAATAGCCTTCAAGTTGGTTGGGATTTAGAAGTTAGACAAAGACAGTGGTTGATTATAATAATAAGTTACTGCACAGCAGGAAGGTAACAGGGAGGTCAGAAAACATTGTCCACATTTGGGGGTGGAAACCAGAAGTGTTGGAAATATGGGAATCAAGTTGAGATTGGGTATCAAAAGATTTGGGACCTAGGAATGAAAATCAGAAGAGGAATAAAAAATTTGGGGGTATAGGGGTGAAAAAAACGGAATACAGAAAATTTTAAGGCTTAGAAGTTGAGTTGTGAAGATGAAGATCCATGGCTTGTGGATAAGCTATTCAAGTTGAGGCCATAGTTCGAAGTTGCCAACACTCTGGGCACAATGAAGTATCCTGAACTGGATTAGACCTTCCATTGGAAGCAATTATTGAGACAGGACAATTATACAGACAGGACAAACTGTCAGTGTATATTGTATTACAAATATGCAATATATATGCATATATATCCAGATATTATATATATAGAACTCCAAATAAACGTATATTTTTATAAACATATATTTTATTATAAAATACATATTTTATTTTCTTTTATTAAACATATATTTAATAGTTATTATACAGATATGGAATACACACATCACCCCAGACATACAAGTATACATATTAACAACTGAGAGCACTGGAATACAACCAATGAAGGCAAAACTAATTGGCCACAGTCCTTGAGAGAATTAAAGCACAAGTGGCAAGATATATATTCACTCAGCACCCCCACCCCCAGAGCATTTTCTAAGTGGCAGGAGGGAGTAACAGAGATAAATAGACAGCAGCATCTCTATAGGACAGAAGCAGAATTTGGAGCTTGGGAACAAATGCAAGTGTGATTTGAGGGCCAAAAGTCTAAAGAGAAGGGAATGGCAGAATATGAACCCCAAAATCTATTTACAAATTCCCAATAAATCATCAGGTAATTCCTAAGACACAAGGGAGAGACTTCAAGAAATCCAGAAGAACAGCAGCACCTAAAGAGTTAATCCAAGATTTTATCAGCTGCATAATGCTGGTGAAATAGAGATTAGAGGACAAACTCCAAAAGGTTTGGGGTGGTGGCATAAACACCTGGGTTTCAGTTGTAAGACCTAAGAAAGACCATGACCTAGGATTAAGGACAAAATTGAAATACACCAGCATTAAAAGGCCTAAAACCAAATCCCATTGGGATTGAGGTAATTTACTTTATCTACATACTTGTAAGAAAACTTAACTTTGGAGAAAGCTACTATCATTCAGAAGCCTCTATAGTTTTTCTTTCACATTGTATGAATTCAACAAGAAATTACGAGACATGGGAAAGGAGGAGGCAACAATCAAAACAGTACCAGATACCAAAAACCTAGAGGATGCAAATGATTGGGCTGTTGAATTACTGGATAGGATTTTAAATAATATGACTAAAATTAAAAAAATAGAGGAAAGAATTTTACTAGAGACTTGGAATCTATTTCTTTTTAAATGGAAGGGAGGGGTTAAATGAAAAATCTAAAACTAAAATACAATTGCAAGTCAAATTAATAATTCAAGAGGGGTTGCATTACAGCTGAGGCACAGCAGAGCAGTTTCTACTATATGGGTGACAGGTTAGTAGAAAATATCCAGATTAAAGCACAAAAATTTTAAAAAAGACAAAAAAATACAGAAAAGATTGAGACATAAGGAATAGAGCAAAATGTTCTAACATACATGTAATTCAAATATTTATATAAGGGAGGGTGGGAGGGGGAGAGAGGGAGGCAGGATGGGGAAGGTAGAGAGAGGAAATAGAGCAATATTTAAAGAAATATTTGCCAAGATACAAGATAAACACCAGGGTTAGTGACATCAAATTCAGATGGGGATGGTGTGTGTGTGTGAGGAGACAAAGGATCAACAATCAGAGTAATAGCTGACTTCCAAAAACAATGGCAAACAGAAGACAATCTTACATACTGAAAGACTGAAAAAAAACCAAAAAAGCCTGTGTAGAGTTTTATACCCAGCAAAACTATCCTTTAAATATTAAGATGAAATAAATATGCTTTCAAGTTAACCAAAGCAGAATTTGCAAGCAGACTTATTGAAATAAGATCCCTGAACTATAAATATATAGTTGGTAGCCCTGAATCATAAGGATTATTTCAGCTAATTTTTCTTTTAAAACACTAAAGCACAATGGCCCCAATGGAATTGTTCAATTTCCAGAGAAATAAAGAGCACCAGAAGGCCTGATGTCGACCTCACGTCTACCCCAAAATATTTTCATTCCAGTGGAATCATTAGGTGTAAAATACAAGCTCATATTTTAAAAACAGACTCCTACAAACAAGGAATCAGAGGCAAGTCAGAATTTCACAATGTTTTACACCCCGTAGGTACTGTTTAATTTTAACCAAAATAAAGTTGAACAATTTTAAAGAAGCAATGGAAGATAGGCTCAGCGGGGCAGCAGTTAAGGGCAGGTGTTGGCATGAGGGTGGTAAAGGACGAGGAAATCCGTGCCCACCCGGGAGCTGGAGCCAAGAGCGATATTTGTGCTGCCAGAGCGGAGCACCGGTGGCGCAACTAAGACGTGGCTTCCACGCAGAGAGTTGGGCGCGGTACTTGGGTCAAGGGCAGGGTCGGAGGTCACGACCCTGGC